TCACCGACCTCCGCCTCGACTATGAATCAGCTACCATGGTTTTACGCAGATCAGTTGTACGAACGGATTATGAGCTGGCCCAAATCATCTTCAGTCACTCCGGACTTCATTCCGTTGTTTTTCATTCAAAAAGTTGCCGATGTTATATGTGAGCCGCTCTCGTACATATTCAACCAATCACTCATGAAGGGGGAAGTTCCTTCACGATGGAAACACTCTTCCGTCACCCCGGTATTTAAGAAGGAACCTTCCTGTGACCTTGCGAATTATCGTCCTGTCAGCATAACTTCTTTGTTTTGTAGACTTTTTGAGAAAACGATTAAGGAACACATTCTTGAGTATGCTGCAGCTAACAGAATAATACCACGGGTCCAACATGGTTTTGTGCCTGGGAGGTCGGTGGAGAGAAACTTGATTGAAAGCCTTGAGGACTGGTCAGTAGCACTTGTTAATAGTAGATGCTGTGATGTTATATACTTTGATTTTGCGAAAGCTTTCGATAGAGCACCACATAGAAGACTGCTGCATAAGTTGGAAATGTTGGGTTTCCATCCCACACTCGTAAGTTAGATTTCTGATTTCCTCCACGGCAAAACCTTCCAAGTGCGAGTAGGACAGAGTCTCTCCGAAAGTAGGAGGGTGCTTAATGGAGTTCCGCAAGGGGGAGTTCTGTCACCGGTATTGTTTAATATATACACAGCTGAGATTCCTTGTTTGTTTGATGGGTTAGATGTCACAACAACTTCTCAAAGCTTATAAAACATATGTTCGGCCCTTGGTTGAAAGTGGTGCTGCTGGGTTCAACCCATCTAGGAAAAGGGATGTTGAAGCACTTGAGAAGGTGCAGAACAATTTTACGGGTAAGATCCTTTGCCGATGTAGGAGTTTTTCCTATTCTAGAATTTCTGAAGCATCTATTCGCAACAAATACTTTGAACTCTCTACTCTGGAATCACGCGGCGCAAAGTATTTGACGTCTGCATGGTTTACAAGCTATTGCACCAAAGCAATAAATTTGGTTCCTTTGTTTTCTATAATGTGGCCCACTCCCGTACCAGAGGAGGTCAGACTAAAGTAAATTTCCCTAGGCCTAGAACCAGTAAAGGCCAGAAGTTCACATTCAGAGCGGCTAACCTCTACAAAAAGGTAACAAAAACATAATCGCTCCGGATTCCTTGACTAAGTTCAAACGCTCTGTGGAAGTAATTTTATCTAAGTATGAGCTATCATAGTTCCTTGCGGTTGACCATTTCTTCTTCTACACCTTTGTTTTACATCTAACTAGAAGTCATTTGCCTTATTTTTGTGATCCTCTTTATACGATTATATTTTATCTACATGTGTTTCTTGTATTTGCTCCGTTTAAGTTGGTTCTAGAAGGTTGTTATCATTTCTATACTACGTTTGCCTTAGCAGCGTAATAAGCATAACATAACATAACATCGCTGCCTATAAATTGTTCAGCTAGATACTATACCTCTCCGAAGTTATCGTTCGACCATTCAGCAACAGCTCATAATAAATGATTTCCCTCCAATCCCACCAGCAACACAGCATAATCTTCCCCACCTGGATTTTGACTTTTGGAGTAGTCTGTGGCGGTTCGCAGTGAAGCCTCCACGATCGTTTCCGCTCCACGTTGTTGTTCGCGAACCACCTTTTGTCACCCGTTTTGATATTTTTCAGAAACAGCTCATTTGTGCTTCGTTCTAGCAACGAGCGCCCACGGAGGAGCGGTCCATCACATTGCGCTCGCTCAGTTCGTGAGGTACCCGAATATGGAGGCGCTTAACAAAACCAGGTTCCAGTAAATGATCGTGGATGGTTGATTTCGAGACATTCAGTCCTCCTTTTATTCCACGAGAAGTGATTCACCGATTCGTTACGTCTAATATTCTGATTCGGTTGTTTTCAACTGATGATAGCCTTCCAAAACGTTGCCGACTTTCGAGGGTGGATTCACCCTGTTCGAATTTCGAAAATCACTCGCGATTCGTACCCCCCTAGAGAAATTCTATTCAAAGTACCGAATCTTTCTCGCGGCTTGAGCCGCATTCTTACACTTGCGGTAGTAGGAAAGCATCAGGCACCGCAAATGCACGCGATGATGCTCAAATTTTACACGAGTCCTATACAGAGAGACTTTGAGGAATACTAATAGAACTTGAACCGGAATAGGGAGGAGGGCTAACCCTTTCAGAAAAAATGTAACTTTATTAGTTTAGGTTCGTAATCTTTTGTACAACAGTTGACAAACCCGGAGTGTCGAAGATCGGCGGAAAATTCCGGACAACCCAATATTCCTGACCTGATGTGAAACACTCGGAATGCAAAGCGGTAGGCTGATTAGTTTCAAAAGGTTGACTGAGGAAAGCGCTTTGCACACAAAATCACAAGGAAAACCCTCAAAAGGCGTAGTATTTGAAGGCAAGATGCAATGTGACTGGATAGTAGTTACTTTCTCAATCTTATACACACGAACGTGAGATCATCTCATTAGGATGACGAGTACACAATTTAGTTAAAAATTTAAACGAAAAAAACATACCAAAACCACCGTGGAATAGACCCATACCGGAATGGAGACAATGACGACGTATTGAAAGGGTTGGAAGAAATGGTGCCTGAAGATTTCAAACGTGAAAAGCAAGCTTCGTCAGCGTAATGTGAGTAGCAACCCCCATACCCAAAAGTAAGTTAGGAGTGCTTCACAACTGTACACAGCTAATATTCGACTGTTGAGCCTATCCGAAATGATAGAGAACTCATGTTTACAAAATATTCTCGTTCCGTGGATTCAGGCCTCGAGTTCGATGAAGACTAATACTGAAAGGGTTTTACAGAAGGGGCCGCGTGCACTACTAGACCAAAGTTGGAGGTTTCAGGAAAATTCTGCTTACAGGGCGGCGAGGACTGTTCAAGACGGATTAGTCTCATGACCGTCCTCGGACGCACGTTCGTACACATGCCCCTCTTCTAAGCTACCTCTTTCACACCACTTTCTTTCAATTCCTGTTTTTGTACTTAGCCATTCTTTTAATTTTTGTTCCTTCACTTTACCATTCTACCTCTTTACCCATTACTCTTAAGTATTGTGGTAGATATTTATTTACCACGTTGATTCCTGACATACTCCTTGGTTCCTACTGTTCCTCATTTACTGAAGAGCCCCGAGGGACAGTAGGAAGAAAGTGGTTCGCCTAAGTGAAGGGCGAAACGAACTACCCTACAGAAATACTACCTTAGGGTTAGAGATTCCTTCAGAATCACAACTGGACTCCGGGCGAGAAGGTGCGAATAGGTAGTGAAGCCACGAAGTAGATTAGATTAGATGGACTGCGTACATCTACTAAAACAGTACGAATGAAAAAAAACGTGAAACAAAAGCGACAACTATCGTTTAAGCCTAAGATGTTTATGCTAAATATCGCTACAAGTAAAGCTACATCAGATGGGAGCGCTCATGTAAATTCTATTATTACTCAATTTATCTGGATAAAGAGGAGTGGGTATTCTAGCGTCGCTCGAATATTAATCAGGCACTACAGCGAGTAGGTGAAGAAAGCGAGTATAGGAAGTCCAACTCGGTTCTCCAAGCTGAGGACATATGCCCGCGATAACGAAACAGCGGCTTGGCGTTAAGTCTGGATATCTGCCTTCTGAGATATTCGACACTCTAGTTTGAACCAAACCAAGAATGATCTCTGCACTCGCTTAATCGGAACCATCGAACAGCGCAACGGCATCGTAAGTGTAGCAAAAGTACTGGGCTACAGGCATCATTGCCTCGGTTCGACCCTGGATGGGAAAAACTATACGCTAATTTCTCGCGTTGTGTGCATGAGTTCATGAGCGTTCAGAGAAGGTCATTGTGAGGAGCGCTAATGATAGCTTGTTCAATACTATGTTGGCAAGTTGTAATTTAGAAATGTTATGCTTTTCAGCCATCTGCGCCTAGAAACAATGATGTTAAACATCGTGTGTGGTCGAACATTAGCCATTCTTAGGCAGTAATGAGATCTGTAACTGGATTGCTGCTGCTGTAAAACACGATTTTTGGCATAACGAGTATCGCATTTTGCATAAATTTTATATACTACTTACTAACTTTACTCTGCGTTTATTCATTTTTGTCAAATAACTAAGTGGGATGGGGCGGAGGTGTTGTAGCGGCAAGTTTCGCACTATCTCACACGTACGGTCAGGGGTTCGAGTCTCGAATCGACATCTGCCTAGAAATTCCGTCCCTCTGGAGTCGGTGAATTGGTACTAGACTCGTTTGGAAGGATGAAGCACCGACTTGTACATCGGCAGGCCACCGCAAGTCACATAGTATAGGCCACATACGTGCTCACTAAACTGAATGCTACGGTTCTGAATGGAAGTCGAGTGCGGGGGCGCATCCTCAGACGGGATTGATTAACGCAAAAAGATTTTATTCTCTCAGACTTTTGGCTAAATGGGATAATGGACGAGTGCGCGAATTGAAGTTTCATAAAATCATGCTTAATTCAGTTTTCAGTACTTTCTCACATATTTCTGCAGTGCGTATTCGGCTAGTGGCTGAGTGTTACCAGTGGTTCAAAATGCACTTCACTCGACCAAGGCTTATGCTTCCGCTGCAGTTTTCAAAGAAGGGGAAAGCTTTTGTAGAAAGAGATAAGATTCCTACATCGCCAGACACGCTTGAATGATCCCACACATCATTCTCTCAAGGGACCAAATTTTTGCCAGGCTGCCTCACTATGCCATCCAAGCAAACTGTGATGAGGATCAAAGCAGATTGACCCCTCCCTAAGATCTAAAATTTTCAAGAGTAAATTACCTGAGTGGAACGAGAACTGCAGCCAAGAGATCGCCTACAATCACAACATACATGATTGCTTGAGCGCTTATGGCAAAGATGTACGGAAGTATGAGTTTAAAGCATTCGTCCTGTCGTGGAAGTTGATGATTAACACTGAAAGATCATTCTTTTAAGATAGAACTTCAGCGAAAAAAGACATATGAACTAACCTGTAGGAGAGATTAACCCACTGGCACGCTATACAGACGAGATGGTAACCAGCCAGATTGGCCAAAAGTAAACCTGAAATTAACGTCTGTAACGAGTCTTTCACATAGTTGTGTACGCACCGTGTTTCTTCTGCAGTTGTGGTTTGCGGTATGTGGCCCAGATAATATTGAGATTTCCAAATAGTCCAAGGGTACAGAAGACAACAATGATGAAGCTGATCGAGTAAAAATAAATCATGTAGGGCGAACCTAAAAATAGAAGAAGTTGAGTGGAAGGTAGCGTCCAGAATTCAAATATGATCGGTTAAAAATTTACAGTAAAGCACATAGGACGAAGTCAAAACTTTGTGTCGAGGTCAACGGATCTTGCATAGCATGTACACACAAATCGAAGTCTTTCCACGAAATGAGCACATCAATGCGAATAAGTATTCCATTCCTCGAGACATCACTTATCAGCTGAGTTTGAGTGACAATTTGACGACACTGCATTACTTATTAACTGGCTGTCGGCTTCATTACTTATTAGCTGTTTGGCTGTCGAGCTACTGCACGCTAGTTCATACATGTACCACGACAGGGTCATGTGTTACATGTTACATCACTGACGTCAAACTGACTCGTGGATGAAAGCAAATCAATGATTTCAATCAATGATTTTTTATCAATAGTCAGTGAAATTGAATTCATAAAATCTGCACTTGAATGGCTAATTCCATTACATCAAACATTGACATTTTCAATCGGTATCAATCGAACCGCGAAGTCACCACTTGGTCCATCCCACATTTTTTTCGATCAGTCTCTCGACTTATAGGCTGAGCCCCCTATTTTTTGCTAAAGCCATCCACCTAAGCATAAAAGATCATTCACTCCAAATATCACCCCTTCTTGAAAATTCTGTCAATGATTCCTAGTGGTCAGGTATTTTTGGAATCACGCTCATCTTACACTATGCATGGTAGCCCTGGGTAACTATCGCATAAATTTTACCTTCACTCTTTCGAGCTCACAGTGCTATATGGATCTCGTCCTATGCCCTACCCATCTTGAAGTCGAACTAGCCCATTGCGCTCCAAGTATAATAAATAGTAATTATGAACAAGGTGCTGAGTAGGCCGAGCAGAGTTGGCAGCGAAAACTGCACTAACAAAAACAAAAATCAAAGCAAATCAGGAGCAACAGAGCAGATAAGAAAATGTGGCCTAATGCAAGCTTATGGCTGAGGTACTCAACTCACTATAATTATCCTTGTATATACGCAAAAGCCCAATGTACGGATGCAGAGATTCGATTACGAGAGCCCCAGCAATGCTCAAGCAAAGGCCTGTCGCCCGATTCAGGTTCATCCTACAGCAAGTACATGGTGATTTTTAATGTTGTCACGACACGTAGCGTTACAATCCAACTCAAAACCACGCGCTAGGAGGCTTTCGAACCCTTGGTGTAAAAGACTTGATCCGAACGATCGATTCTTCATCAAAAATTCATCCCATAGTCTGGTAAGAGTCTGATGAGGATAATCTCGATTCGATCAAGATTAGGTCTCGACAATGCGTATGAGGCTAGTAACAGCAGTAACAAATAACTTTTGTGTCCATGAAGAGGACTAGCGAGAAATATAGTTTTGATGAACAATCGCTGTGGATATACTGCGCTAGTCAGCTACGCATATAAAAACAAACCCGAAATAAAATGAAAATTATTTGATGTTGCAGCGGTGGTTGTATAAGAAGAAAGCTTTCGAAAAGTTCCGGTCATAACAACACCGCTCTAAGCTGTATTGATTGGCAACCAGAAGAATCGAGAACAAGCCTCAATTAAGATATTAGCTGGTTTAAATGGTCACGCAGTAAGGTGAACAACATCGAATGAAATGAAATGTCATGAATGAAAATTTGTTGCGTTCTCAGATACCAGGCGCTTTGAATAGGGTCACCTTAGCGGCACAGCAATGTCGAATTGAATAATGGAGATGCACTCCTCAAAGAAACCGCAATGTTGGTAAGCTACATACTTAGGAATCGGAACTCTCCGTCCACCAGAACAATGTTCAGCCCGCGGCTCGTTGGAGGAACTGGCTACACGGCAAACGAATTCGGGAAAACTCAGTTAATCGACTAGGAGAGTTAAAAAAAAAGGGGGGGGGGCATAAAGGTTGCGACATCGACAATGAGAGGACGGGCCCACGAAATGACATCACAGCCCAGGAAGACTCTGGGATCTTTCTAGATAAAGCGTAACACAGTCACAATAGAAGTGTTTGACTTCTTGCCATTGACGTATCCCTTTCTGGGTGTTTTGAGGAAATGGCACATTCTACGTAGTGCACTGTCACAGTGCACACTCGAAACATCACATAAGCTGAGTTGTGCGTATTGACGCAGGGCACTACATGAAAGGCAAACCACGTCCTAATCGAGCGCAACTACTCGACGAAGCTAATCTGGCTGACTTTGAATGAAAGATAACAAAAAGAAGAGAGGGTAGGAGGTCTTAATAGTAATTTATTCAATTTAGCTGTAACATTTGAATAATGCGGAATAGTTTGTGAATAATTTGTTGTTGTACAGAAATTCGGCAAAAATTATTTTCTGCACTTTATCCCTGGCCCATTGCACTGCTGAATATTATTCTTGCCCAGCCAATGGAAGTGGCAGTGAGTAAAATCAGGAAGCTGGCTTGATGGGACTGGTCGCACATTCTAGGATTAGGGCTAGAAAAGAAGGGGTCATAAGAGTTATATTATCAGAAATAAGAGAGTTATAATATAAGAAACAGAAGCAATCGACCGACTCTAAGACTCTAAACCCCATTTCACTTGCAATGCCGGAGTATTCATACCTTTAGTGTGTCCCAGTTGGGGGCAAAGTAATCAGTGAGTAAATGCAATTTCGGAAGCTGTATTAGGTCGAAAATGTATGATGAAGCCGTTTGATTGAAGTAAGTTCATTCGAAGTTCTCTTTTGAGAAGCGAGCCGCCCAATCGGAGTCGGTCATCGAATGTCTGTTCTAATGAGGACATCAGAATTAGAGTATGAGGTAGTTTAGTTGGATGGTTTCTTCGCTGAACTCACATGAGACTACAAATCATCAGCCGGCCACGTCCCACACTAAATCCACGTAAGCTATAATTCATCCAATACGAAATTGTAGGCGGAGTATGGGGGAAAACGTTAGTAATTCTGATGAAGTCGTATCATACTCATGCGAAGGAGAGATTGTAGTATCAGAGGGGTTCATTTCGAATACATAGCATGCATAAGCACATCATATCGGAACTCGAATGCGAAAATGAAACTGAGAAAGGTGATTAATTCAGTAGGGTTCCACTCCATTACTGAAACCTTCAACGGACAAATTTTTTTCGTAGGGACATAGAGCTAATCATAGGTTTTGCGTTAGAATGCAGAGCTTCACTGTCACTTTTCTCTTTTGAGGTCTTTTTCAGCTCTTCTCTCCAAATATCTTCTCCAATATCGAAGTAGGCTTTGATGTCCACTCGGAGGTGGGAAGTGTAGCCCAAATGTAGGGAGATTTCAATTGGTATGCGCGAGATTCAGAGAACAAGTTAGGCAAAGCGAAGTTTTGTATCATTCTTAGAGTTCAGCTCGAACCAATTTACTTTTTACGATGTTGGTCCTACAAACTGCGATCGACTCTCTGAGGTCCGCATAATTTCCTATTAGAGGAATGCATCCAATCAATTTTTCCAATTCAATCTAATAAGATGCTGAGACTGCCTTGAACGAGATCCTGACATCATCCATATGAACATAACAAAGAAAATATTGTACTTTACGAGGAACGCATAGAAAGTAAGGTTGTTGTTGCATTCAAAAAAACTTTACCAAGGCAGTGGAATACCTAATTAAAATAAGTGATCAAAACTGTATAATGGCAGTGCTATGCGTACTGTAGGAAAAGGAAGAAGGAAGGCAGGGAGCATAGCAAAGCGGCTCCTTGAACTAGGAATAGCAATGATGCATGTAGAAAGGGGATTGAGCATCTTCAAAGAAATTCCAGACATCAGACGTCTTAAGAGAGGAAAAGAAGAGAACAGAAAAGAAATCCGAAAGAGTTAGATACTCGTTAAGAATGACAGGCTTGCTCTGAATAGGAAATCGTCTCAGTGACATATGAAGCAGAAGGGGAGGGTCTGCCTCAAAGGTCACTTCATGATAAGTACCTATTGAGGTACTACTATTTAGGTAGATAATATGAGGTAGCCTTTTGAAGTTGAAAAGCGGAAGTGTTGGGGGAGTATAGTGCATTGGTGGCAAAGAAAGAAAAAAAAATCCGGGTTTCGCGAAAAATAGGGCTTTTTTAAAGTAGTGAAAATAGAAAACGAGATCACCGGCGGCATTTTAAAACTGGTCCGGGTCCGGCATTTTAAAACTAAAAGTGGATGTCCAACCGACACAATTCTGAGCCCTTATAACGTCCTATCTAGGCCGTTTACCGATCTGACGGCGCCACATATGGTATACGGGGACGNAGGAATAGCAATGATGCATGTAGAAAGAAAGGGGATTGAGCATCTTCAAAGAAATTCCAGACATCAGACGTCTTAAGAGAGAAAAAGAAGAGAACAGAAAAGAAATCCGAAAGAGTTAGATACTCGTTAAGAATGACAGGCTTGCTCTGAATAGGAAATCGTCTCAGTGACATATGAAGCAGAAGGGGAGGGTCTGCCTCAAAGGTCACTTCATGATAAGTACCTATTGAGGTACTACTATTTAGGTAGATAATATGAGGTAGCCTTTTGAAGTTGAAAAGCGGAAGTGTTGGGGGAGTATAGTGCATTGGTGGCAAAGAAAGAAAAAAAAATCCGGGTTTCGCGAAAAATAGGGCTTTTTTAAAGTAGTGAAAATAGAAAACGAGATCACCGGCGGCATTTTAAAACTGGTCCGCTATGGATGTCCAACCGACACAATTCTGAGCCCTTATAACGTCCTATCTAGGCCGTTTACCGATCTGACGGCGCCACATATGGTATACGGGGACGCCACATATTCATTAGAGGGAGATTTCTTAGAAACGATTTTTATAGCAAAGTGCACTTTCAAGAAGACATCATTGAGTGAGGACTAAGGTAAGGGCAAAGAAAGTAAGAAGAAAAAGTCAAGTAGCGAGAAGGTTCTAACTAGACGACGGATCATCTGTTGTTAATGTTGAAGGGAAATAGACAAGGACTACAGCAAGCTGAAAGCTAAAGAAAGACTGTGGAGTTCCGAATGGGTTGCACTCGAAAGTATTCTAATCAAGTTATTCAAAAAAGGGAAGTTACTGAGCAGTTTCGCATGCGGTTGTCACCACACTATCTTTCGGTAAAGCAAGCTCTGGTTTTTGTTTACGGCCTTCAGGCTCTAAATTTCAAAAGCCTGAGCACCGCTGCTATATAGATTGATGAAGGTAAATAGAGCAGTATTCATCTAGGCTTAATTGAAGGAAGTAAGAAAATCGAATCATGCCGAAAAAAAATTCTTCCCGACTCTTCGACTAAGCCTGTCTGTGAAAGTGCAGCAAACAATCCCGCGAATGATTTTAATTTAGCGACAGATGAAACGAGAAATACACTCTCTGATCTCTCGTTTCACTTGAGGCATTATTTCGAAAACTCCATGCGCTTGTATTAGTCGAGACGTCAGATGAACCTGAGTAACCGTTCAATAAGTCAAAAGACGCTCCAGAAAGTTTTGATAATGCAACATTCTCGTAGTAAGTGCTGCATCTTCGAAAATACAAATGCGCCGGGGTAATGGAAGAACTTGCCATCATGATATTTCAACTTTTCCATGCTTGCACCATTCAAATGAACATTTCTCTTCACACTTCGTTCTTGAATTTGATGACATTTTACGAGTTTCTGAGCGGTAAATTGCTTTCAACTTCATTGTCACCTGTAAGAGGCGAATTCATAGGTAATGTGAGACACAAAAGGTAGATTTAAAGCAAAAAAAAGTTGCCATGTCATGGTACTAAATGTCATATTGCCATAAATGGCAAGAAGCAAAGCATGACCATCTTCGAACTGCTTTGCTTATTTTTTTCTATTTTGCCCGATCTGTACTTTCGTCAAATTAATTGCTCCGGAATGCTGAAGGTTATATTCACTCGAACGGAATTCGCCTACCGGGAACATAATAAGATTGATTCACACGCTACGTAGGAGACTTATTATTTTGTCGAAGTTATTGAGAATTTCTCACCATCCAGATCCACAAAGCTAAACTTTAGCGGTTCAGAGCGGAATGTGGCCAGAAACTATTGGAAGCTCAGAGAAAAGAGGTCAAAAAGTTAGTGTGAAGCCGAGCGTTGATAAACATGGCAGAAAACGAGGGTATGT